ACAGCATGGAGAACCTATTTACAAATCTCAATCAGAAAGGAATGTTTATTTGTGGGGACTTTAATATTGATACTGAAAGGAATAGAAGCTCAATGTTTTTAAGAGCAGTGGAAGAAAAAGAGATTTATGACATCGTTATTGGACTTAAAAACAAAAGCAGTACAGATTGGAATGATATTGATATGGTAAGAGTTAAAAGAGTTATTGAGGGTATAGTAGAACCATTGAAATATATATCCAACTTGTCTTTTCAAAAAGGGTTTTTTCCACAAAAAATGAAAGTTGCTAAAGTTATTCCAATTTACAAAACAGGTGAAAAGTATAATTTTACAAATTATAGACCAGTGTCAATACTCTCCCAGTTCTCTAAGATACTGGAAAAACTTTTCATACAAAGATTTGACAGCTTTGTGGAAAAACATGAATTGCTGACAAATAGTCAGTACGGGTTCAGAAACAACAGATCAACAACTTTGGCATTGATAGACTTAATGGAAGGGATAACAGAATGTATAGATAATAAGAGGTACACACTCGGAGTTTTCTTAGATCTAAAGAAGGCGTTTGATACTGTTAATCATGAAATTCTATTTAAAAAAATGGAAAGGTACGGGTTTAGGGAAGTGGTTTTGGACTGGTTAAAAAGCTATTTAGGGAATACAATATGTACAATATGTACAAATAAATGAATATAAATTTAATTTGATGCATATTGCTTGTGGAGTACCTCAAGGTTCAGTATTGGGTCCAAAAATGTTTATTATGTACATAAATGATATTTGCAGAGTCTCGCAGATTTTAAAGTTTGTAATATTTGCAGATGACACAAATATATTTTGTTCAGGTGTGGAATTGCCACAGGTTTTGGAGATGATCACACAGGAATTATAAAATATATTAAAGAAGTGGTTTGATATAAATAAATGATCTAGATGAATCTAGATGAAACCAAATTTATGTTTGGAAACCAAAAGAAAAATATCAAAGTAGAAATATGTGTTGACAATGTATATTTAGAAAGGGTAAATGAAATAAAATTTCTTGGTGTGATCTGTTGGAAACCACATATTACTTATGTTCGAGGGAAATTGGCACGGGGGTATTGCTGTCCTGGGGAAACCAAAGCAAATATTGGATCAGAAAGCACTGCATATATTATACTGTGCTTTACTACTGCCGTATATGAGCTACTGTGTAGAGGTCTGGGGAAACACATACAAAAGTAATACACAAACAACAACGATAATACAGAAAAGGGCCATCAGATTAATAAATAATGCAGGTACAGGGATCATACAAATGGACTATTTTTCAAAATGCAAGCTATTAAATTCCAAGACTTGGTGACGTTTAAAACAGCAAACAAATTATGGAACAGTCTAACAGAAGAAATTAAAGAAAGTAACAATATAAACCAGTCTAAAATTAAATATAAAAAACAAATTTTTAACAAATATAAGAATGATGAAAACAGGGTTAACCCAGGGCGGTAATGTTGTTCGTAATAGTGTTTTGATTTGTTTGTCTCAGAATTTGTAAATCTGCAAACGTTACCACTCAGTCCTTATTTATATGAAAGTGACTATACTGTGGTGGAGCTTGTTTATTTGTTTTGTTTATTTGTTTATTTGTTTGTTTTGTCTTTGCTTTTCTTTTGCATCATATGTTGTTTGTTTAATTTAAGGCTAAAAGAAAATTAAATCCTCTCTTTGCTATTTGAGCTGATTGGGACAAATCAGCCCAAATAGCAAAAACAAAGAATTACCTGATTTTTTTTTTTTTTTATCTACCTGATTTTTGTTTCTGAGAAAAATGAGATCCACATATGAGGATGTTTTACATTTTGATAGAACAGTGGCAGTATAAGTCAATATCAGGCCCTTGTAGAGCAAAATTTAGGATTTTGGTCTATACAACCCAAAATGTGATGTCCACCTATGTGGATGCAAGGTACTAGGAGGTTAAATAAGTTTACAGAATCAACTGACAAATTAATCCTCCTACACACAAACCATAATTACAGTTAACATATGATCGTTAAGACATTGTTTTGTTGTCTTCTATTTCGTCACTAGACATAGACATGCTTTACTGTCATTCAAATTTATACCTTACACATAAAAATACAATTTGCAGCATTGGAACCAATTGTTCAAAATATGAATATTAAAAAATAAAATAAAATAAAATAAAATAAAAAAAATAGTACAAAGTCTAAGTGTATATACATCTTAGTAGAGATATAACTATACGAGCAGATCTGTAGTTTTTGCATTTGTTAGTTTGGTTTAAAAAAAAAAGAAAAGAAGAAGGCGTGAATCCAAACAAGACAGCTGTAACAATCAAGGAGTAGATATGGTGAAGTTAAATGACTTTGTTTACCTGGGGTCAACCATCCAAACAGTGTTAAATGGCATACCATTTAAAATAGCACTTTTCTGTCCCACTTGTGTAAGTGAAAGGAAAGGTTTATAAGATGGTAGAGAGACCTAATATGACATAGGGTGTGCAAATGATGGTACTATCAAAAAGAAAGGAGATGGAATTTGAGGTGCCACAGTTGAAGATGGTCAGATCTGGGAATGACCAGAATGAACCTGATTCAAAATGGGTATATCAGAGGGACAGCTCAGATCGAGTGCACTAGAGACAAAGCTAGAAAGGTTGAGGTAGTTTGGATATGTTCCAGGACACAATTGTGGATACAAGGCAGCAGGAAAAGAGGAAAAAATAGAGAGGATTCAGGGATATGCTCAAGAAGGATATAAAGAGTCAGCCTTTGCTGATGCACTGAGCATTTCTCCTTCTCTCACCCCTTCTCACAACTCTGCATTTAATTATGAGTTATTAGTCTCTGGCTCTCTTCCACAGCATGTCTTTTATCTCTCAACTTACCCCCGACTTGTTGTAGCAGAATGCTGCCCCTTCTTGTGCCTGGTTCTGCCGGTTTCTTCCTGTTAAAAGCGAGTTTTTCCTTGCTCAAACGGGGTTGTATGTTCATTCAAATAACTATCTGAATGAACAAAAAAATTATTATGGAAAAAATTTCCATGTTGTTAAATTTTGTTATTTTAGCATTATGCAATTCTGTCATTCCAACCTAATGTACTTGACTTAGAACAACTTAATGAATTAATGACGAACCAACCTTTTCACTGCAGTTGAGTCCAGCTTAATTTTACTGAATTGATCCAACCCATGCAAATTACATTACTCCAACAAAAATACTTAATGCTAATAGATAGCCATTTAGTTTTCAACAAAGTCAAAGTCCGATTAACAACTTGTCATGCACACCTTTTTTTCTTACGATTTAATGAATTTAGGACATAGCTGTCACACCATCCATCCTTTTCCGTTTCTCCTTATCAGGTCTCAAGGGGTGGCAGGAGTCTATTCTACCTGTCATACGGTGAGAGGCGGGGTATACCCTGGGCAGGTCCCCAGTCTATGGCTGTATCCCAATTCAGGGTCTGCAGCCTTAAAGTATGCAGCCTTAACGGTCCACAAGGGCCGCGTACTCAAAGACTGCTAAGGCCGGAAGTGCGAGGCTTGTGTAATGGGAGGGTCTAGCCTCCGTCGCGCTGCCCAGGTTGCCTAGCAACCATGATACTAACAGCTGGAAATGTTTCATACAGCTTTGTTTGACAGAAACGAAGGAGAAAATCTTTTGTTCATTTGTTTGTTTGTTTCTACATGAGCTCATTGTAAGATTAAGGTCAGCTATTGAACGGCGTATATTTTAAAGTAAAGGCTTTAAGTTAGTACAAACGTCATTAATGTCACATAACTTTGCCGACATGTGGCCAACAGTAATGTTTTAATGTTCTTCGTTATTGAACATTTGCACATAAATAAGCGACATAATATTCAGTACTTACTTTTAAAAGTTTACTCTTCGGGCGCCCCTCATCTGCCGTTTTTTTTCGGCAAAATTATCCACACCCACCGCTGCGCTATGCATTCTGGGATATGTTGGGCCACGAAGTCTACACTGCCACGTCCTTAAAATTCAGGGAAATGAAGGACGCATTTGAGGGCCGCATTTCGAGCAGCCTTCGAATTGGGACAGCCTTCGTCTCGTCGCTGTGATGTAATCGCCCTTAAAATGCGGCCTTTAAGGCTGCAGACCCTGAATTGGGATACAGCCACAGGGAGACAGACAACTATTCACACACTCACATTCACACCTGTGGGCAATTTAGAGTCACTAACTGCATGTACGGAAAGAGACACAACCACAGGGAGAACATGCAAACTCCACATAGAAAGGCCCTGGCCAGTTTGTGGATTCGAACTCTTCCTCTGAGGTAGCAGTGCTTTCACTGAACCAACGAGCTGTCACTCCATACTTAAAAAAAAAAAAAAAAGTAGAAAAGCTTTGATTACAAGGCTTCATACAGAATTTTCTTTACGTTTTTGTCTTTGCAGAAGATTGCAGTAAATTTAATTACGGAAGGCCCAAACCTAAACATTTACTTCCAGGATCACATTATCAGAAGGGCAGCCACTTTGTAGTCAACAGATATAATTTATTTGAGCATCTACTGTATGTTTTTTTTATTTTTTTTTATTACAGAGTACTCTGCACCACCATCATCAAAACACCAAATGAGGGAAGAATAGTGCTAATTCCTCCATTAAGAGTTGAGATATAGAAAATCAATTCAAAACATATTTATACATAATTAAGTTACCATAAAATTAATAGATATATAAGCAAAACGTATATTCACAAACAGATATTACAGATACTGGGACATATATGCATATACCTATATGCCCCCCAGCAGAAAACTCAATTTTTCACAGCTGCAGAACATCAGCTAGCACTAAGCAGTTCTTTGAATGAACTGTGACAAGGTGTTGTTCTTTCCCCCTTCCCCCATCTTCTGTCTTCCGGGAACACTAATAGGCTCCATGCAGAGTAATGTGACCAACTGAATCATCCTCACCCCAGAGCTGGAAGCTGCAGATCAGAGGAGCTGTGCTCAGTCCCACTCCCACACTGAAAAACTTCTCTGGAGTGACACTTTCTGCTAAGGATTTCTTGGATAGTAAACCTCATCTTCCAAGGATCTAACAGCACAGTCTCTCTATTTGCTTCAGCCACTTTTCCCACTTGTCAGACCTCAGATCAGCTCTAAGGTGAAAAGGTCATAGGGCCCAGGTGTAGCCCTGACTACAGTAATAGGTAAGTAAAACCTTATGCGTGTGATGCTGACAGACTTGAAACACTGCTACATGGATAGTGAGCAATTAGTTATCAGCTGATCAACCTCATCAGTCCTGCGGAACCTTTGAAGTGCCCTTATTTTAATCTAACTTGTTGACTTTGTAATAAAAAACAGGATTGGTCGGGTAACATCAGTGAAATTTGTGGGCTCTGATAATTGTAATAGATGTAGTAGACTAATGATTGCTACAGTGATGTAGATGATCACTCATCTCATATTTGTATTTAGACTTGCTTGTTCAAATACAAGAAGTGAACAGCTGCAGCCTGATTGTTATATAAACCTAGGTGCACCCCACTGAGCTGGCAATAAGCACTTATTTCCACTAACTAGTCTACTTCCTTTTACATTAACAAAGATACGAAAAAGACTTTTGAGGCACTATCAGGCAAAATTTCTGTTACTTAGAGTAAATAACTTCCATTAGTTAAAGTAAGTAAAGCAGTTACACAAAGTGTTCATCATACATCATCGTACAAAAACGAGGCTGTAGTATAACTAACAGACATCTCTATGAGGTCAGAAAAACTGAACTCATACAGACTGCATACTGCATTAAACAGCAGTATTTACAAAGTACATTAATGACCTTTACAGAGATAGCTTCATCTAGTGTTTTTACAAACATGATACCACAGCTGCTATGTATAAAATATTCAAGGTAGAGTCTGTTTTGAAAGTTTGGTGGTTCACAGGCAAACTGCATCTGCCAGTCTGTGTCTGTAGTTCTTACAAATTTGTTTTTAAGTGAACACAATGCCCTATGAATAACAGTGTGGAGAAATGGAGAAAAAAACATATCTGCAACATCATAATCACCTAAATTAAGTTATTTAAAATATTTTGCATATAAATACATACAATATATATAAGTACAAAACTGACTTCAGCTGTGGGCCTTATATTTCGTCTCCTAAATGTCTAGAGGAATTCTCTTTTTGACAGAAACATTAACTTTGACAACTGACCATAAATTCTAACATTGAATTCATTCTCAAGTCTAAGTTACCAACTTAGAAAACAGAAAAAAACGCAAACAGAATTATGACCATAAATCACTGATTATTCAACATCATAGCATAAAATGAGTAAGAGACATTGTGGCAGTATTGCACTCGGAGCAGTGACACTAAGCTTTGGTGCCTACCTATTGAATTCTTTCAATTTACTTCATGAACTCTGACTCTAATTTTGCTGTTGGACTAATTGATGGATGCATATAAGATTCTAATACTTAATATTAATATTTTTCTTTTTCAAAATATTCAAGAACCAAGTATTCACATTTTTTAACACCAGAAAAATGTGAAAAGAGACATTTTCATATGTAAATCATTTTATCATGTTTACTTCTACGTTGCTTCTACCATTCCACGCCTTGATTTAGTTCTTATGAAGCAGGCAACTGGCTTTTGGGGATACAGTTGTATATGGCATAGATCTACCATTTTGGCAATATAGAACTTTCCATAGATTTGTGGTTAGGGATTTTTAGGTGGTTCATCTATAATTTATAACATCTCTGACTAAACAAACGATATAGAACACTACTACTTAGCTACTTATTTGCTAGACAGGATAGAGCCAGCATACTCGTTTGGAACTGCTCTTAGTCTTTATACTAAGCTAGGTTAACTACATGCTGACTCCAGATCTGTACTGAACACACAGAAATGTGACCGATACTTATGTTTTGCCTCAGTTCTGCTTTTTCCAATGGCTCACGTGATCACAAGCTGATCCAGTGACAGCTTACAGACTGAAATTACAAGGAAAATACAAGGAAACAAGCACATGGCTCTCATGTAAATGCTTGGCTTCATTTAATCAGACTGATGTTTCCCCAGCAGCCGAAGACAAACTACAAAATGATCAGCAGTCGATTCACCACTCCACTTATTACCTCAATTTGTCAGTAACTGACAACCCACACCATATATTTATTTTCCTCTTTGTGTTTTAAATAGTTATGAAATGTATGAGAGAATTAAGTATTTAAATATTTTTGCATTATCTTTTTGATGTGTTTATGTGTAAAAGGGAGTTGCTTAATAAATGCGTAAAAGGGTGGTAAATGTATATTGTAACTGGTGAACAAGACAAGTGGAGAGCCATGTAGTGCAGTAAGTTTAAAGCTCCCTGCAGATGAAAGATGCATTCCTACTCTGCATGTTGCTGTGTTCCTCAGACAGATTCCCAGCTGGGACCTGCTCTAATCTCCTGGCAACAATATTGACATAGAAATAGAAACTCTGGAGAGGACAGGACTAGCTCTCTGCCTGTGAGGATTGCCTGCAAATATATCTGCTATAGTTAATATTAATCACAAAGTTGTGCATTATTGCATTAAAGACAGACAGACAGAAAGTTAGATGTTCTTTCTTCCCACCATTCTGGTACAAGTAAATCATTTGCCAGAAAACATCTAAAAGAGTCTTCTTGTTTCCAGACAGAAAAGTCTTATGCCTACTCTGGCAAACCAGTGGTTTAAATTGTTATAAACCCTCTGTATTTCCATTCCAAGTTGTGAAACAGAGTTGATATTGTCCCTGAGTTGTGACATTGTAAAAATGCCTTACCAGTTTGTTTAGCAGCTGACTCTCTGCATCTGTAGCTGCATCTCAGGTGGTTCCTGTAGTCTGCCATCTTATGTTTGTTCATACTCATGTACCAACTTTAGGCAGTCCTTTCCTAAACCCTTTGGTTCAGGTATGTGAATGACACCTGGGAGAAAATCAGGACGTGCCACAATTCAATAATCACATTAACTTAATAGACAAACACCAGAGAGGATATGAAAGGAGTTAGACTGTGAAAATTCCATCATTAATGGGAAACATTTGAAAGTGTACAGTAGACACTGACTTTTTTTAAACCAGTGTATCCAGATCCTAGTAGCACTTTTCTACTCTGCCTGAGTACTCAGAGCAGTTTATACAACTTGGCTCATTCACCCATTCATACAAGCACTTCTTCTATGCTGAAGTTCTTTCTATCTAGCATTCACACACATTTATACTCCAGTGCATGCAGACAGCAGAGGATAAGTTGGGGTTAGTATCTTGCCCAAGGATATTTGACTTGCAGATTGGAGCAGCCTGGAATCAAACCACTAACCTTCCGATTAGTAGACAATCAATATTTAAGATTTGATTCTTATCACTTATCCACTGGAGAACACACTACGTGTCATAAGGATGCCACAACAGATAGTGAACACCATCCAAACAGACACAGCTGCCAAGGAAGCAGAACAACAACATCTCAAAAAGGCCCTGAGTAAATGTAGTTATCCAAGCTGGAGATTTGTCAAAGCTGGGAAGACACCTTAAGAATGCTTCAAGCAATCCAGGAGAGAAGGACAATCGCCTCCTAAGCAGTCTTTTGTGATTCCTTATGTGTCAGGAGTAACAGAACATCTGAGACGTATTTTCTCTGTCTGCCTAAACACACTACACCAAAATTGGTCCACCTTAAGAACTGGGTCTCCGGTAAAAACAGAGTAATAGTGTACAGGTTTAAGTACCAGGAGGATTGTTGTGAATTATACATGGGGGAAAACAAACAAACTCCACCTAAGTGGACGGCACAACTGTCCTGAAGTTTATTTACACCTGGTTCTAGTTTCGGTACTATTTATAAGGCAGGCGAAACCTGAACTCAGCTGAGACTGAAGAAGTCACTTGCACACTTCCTGGGATCTCACTGATAGGTTTATTTTGTTTTTTCAGTTTAATGATAGCTTGCCACACTTGCATCAAGTGAGAGTTCCAGTGAAAATGTATTTGACACACAAACAGATAGATAGATAGATAGATAGATAGATAGATAGATAGATAGATAGATAGATAGATAGATAGATAGATAGATAGATAGATAGATAGATAGATAGATAGATAGATAGATAGATAGATAGATAGATAGATAGATTTAGCATTTGGTTAGCTTAGCATAACTAAAAGAATCCACCAACTTACAGGCAGCAGTGCATCAAGACCTTTTTTCAACTAAATTCTAATTACAGTTATAATCTTTAGATAGTAGGAACTGCTCTCTGTGCTCATTTACTGGAGAAAAGAGACAGGAGTGAATAACCTGAACTTATTGTCCTTTTAACCAAGCTGAAATTATTCAGCAAAATGATGCGATTCAAAACAGCAGTCACAAGAAGTATGTAGAGAGAAAACAGGAACTTGAGAAGCTATTGCGAGCTCTCTAATAATTTACCCACAGATCACAAAGCCCCCATCCCCACCTCTTTTCCATACATGGGCAAATTTCATACCACAGTGTGACTAACTTCTAGCTCTTTTTTTTCTTTACATCTATTTTTGTATGGGAAAAATGCTGATAAAAGTTGTATGGATAATTACTGATCATCTATGTTAGTCAGCTCCCCTGTTATTTCATTTCAGGATCATCATCACCTTCACTTTGCCCATAAGCATGACAACCAAATCGAACAGCAGTGTTCTGGGTGGCAAGGCTTCCTCATCACCTCTCCTGTCCGCTCCACCTCACCAGCGTCTGATCACCAAAGATGGACACTGTGCACTTCGCCCCACTGTGTGTTCTTCGGGCTCATGGCATGAGACTTTACGCAGAGCCTGGCTGTTGGCCCTGCAGGATGTGTGGGGATTGTTGGTGAGTCTGCGCTGGAGATGGGTCCTCCTGGCCTTCTGCACCTCCTTCCTGGCCCACTGGCTGTTGTTTGCCTGTCTGTGGTACTTGCTGGCACACCTAAATGGGGACCTTGCTGTGCAGGATCATGATGCGCCCCCACAGGGGCATGTGCTCTGTGTAAAGCACATTACAAGCTTCACTGCTGCATTTTCCTTCTCCCTGGAGACTCAGCTAACCATCGGCTATGGCACTATGTTCCCCAGTGGAGACTGCCCCAGTGCTATAGCACTGTTGGCTGTACAGATGCTGCTTGGGCTCATGCTGGAAGCATTTATCACAGGTACATCTCTCCATCAAAACATCAATTATTCTAAGACAATTCTCAGTCTTAAGTTTAATTTACTATTTGGGAAACATAACAGAAAATAACTACCACACTGAGTTGACATTTACATATTCACAATAGAAGGTGTTTTAGTGGTAGCCCAAAGTCTAAAGGAAAACGTGTAAATCATACTAAATGAATCATACTATCATTTCTTTGTGAAATTGCTCATGTTGACATTTTTCTCATAGGCTGGAACCTTTCACAGCAGACTTTGTGAATCTGGGCAAGAGACAAAATACACCCCAGACAGGTTGCCAGTCTCAGTCAGTGCTTAAATCAAACCAGTAATCTCCAAAACACCTATCCACATCCTAATCATAAACATTTGAAGTGGAAAACTAGATCTTATGGCACAACAAAAGATCTAAAGATTAATTAAACAAATATCTTATAATACAACATGTTACAAGATCTGTTTCATTAATCCTGAGATAAGAAAAAAAGCTATAGGATTCCAACCTCATGAGGCAGAACAGAGATTGCAGTTTTAAAGCTTCTGAGGCTAAAAAAATGTGACACCTGCTGGAATACTCCAGGTATTGCACTTCCAGAGATAAATCCCATGAATATATTTCTAGGTAGCCAGAAAATTAGATATGTAATATTGTTGACTTCATCCCATAGAAATGCTATTCTATCTTGGACACTGGCATCTTTTGTCTGAACCTTTTTCAAGCTTTATTCAAACATTACGCTGCTCCTCACAAAAATTCACAGATCAAACCACACTTTACTTTACCGATGTGTGAGTGTTACCAGGTCCAACCCAGTAACACTGCTCCAACTTTTCATTGAAAAATGACCAGTTTACCATTAATAAATGAACCAAAAGCAGTGCACAGTGTAAGAGGCTTAAGAAATAGTCATATATTTTAAGTTATTCTCCTGTGATTTGAGACACATTTAGTACAGTAATGTAAAAATAGGGCACTTTAAGAATACAGTTGTGCTTCTAACATTTTAAAAGATATTTTGAAGTTTAAACATCATTCTTTGGTCTAAAATTGTTTCCACTATCATGATCACTGCCTTTGCTATATAGAAATCAGAAATGTGCATTTATCTGATGACAATGCACACCATCAGAACAAGTGAGGAAAGTAATGATGTTTATCCAAGTGCTTGTATTTTACTTTTAGTCTTTCCATTGTCTATTACCTTTTGTTTCTGTTTTACTACTGAAAAAAAAGCAGAAATATTATATGTTTTTCAAAAGTCTAAACATTTTCTATCAGACATACAATTCCCCAATTTCTATATGAACTTGCTGTAGTTGTCTGCCTCTCCATACAGTTAGGACCATAACATTTTGGACATTACATATTTTTACATTTTTGCTTCTTCAGCCTAACGGTTCCCTTCACCATCTGGTTCGGGGGTTACCACCACGGCAGGCACCAACCACCTTGTGGCCACAGCTCAGTGCAGCAGTTTCAGCAATTGAGGTGCTGAGTGCATTTGGACTCACTGTCGAAGCTCTGCTGGAGGTGGGAGTTGAAGGACTGGGACAGGTGTTCCCTGTGAACCCTCACTATAGGTTTAGGCACACCAGATCTGTCCAGCATCCTGCCCTGCCACCTGATCCAACTCACCACCAGGTGGTGATCAGTTGACACTTCAGCACCTCTCTTTACCGAGTGTCCAGAACATAAGGCCACACATCTGATGATATGATTACAAAATTAATCATCAACATGTTGCTTAGAGAGTCCTGGTGCCAAGTGCACTTATGGACACCTGTATGTTCAAACATGGTGTTTGTTATGGACAAACTGTGGTTTGTACAGAAGTCCAGTAACACAACACCACTTTGTTTCAGATATGGCAGGTCATTCCTGCCACTCACGCCCCTCCAGATCTCACTGTCATTGCCCACATGAGCGTTGGAGTCTCCCAGTAGGACGACAGAGCCCCCAGATAGAGCACACCCTCAAGCACCCTGTCCAGGGACTCCAAGAAGGCCGTCATTCTTATAAGAACAGACGATACACATTAACTCAGGCTCGTTCCCCACCAGAGAGGTGACATTCCATGTTCCAGTTGCTAGTCTTGGTAGCCTGGGATTGGTCTCTGACCTTGGCCTCTACCTAGCACACATTGCACCCGAGCCCTGCAGCGCAATGTGGGGATGGTATGCCTACAGGAAGGTGGGCCCATGTTTATTTTTTGGGCTGTGCCCAAATGAGCTCCATGGACTAAGGCCCGGCCATCAGACGCTCGCCCTCGGACACCCTCCCCGGGGCTGGCTCCAGGGCAGGGTCTTGGTTAACCCTATCCTGCACAGGGTAAATGGTTCCCTCAATCTTCTGCTCATAGGGTTTTTTTAAATTGGTCTTTGTCTGGTCCATCACCCAGGACCAATTTTCATTGGGAGACCCTACCAGGGGACAAAAAGCCTCAGACAACATAGCCCCTGGTATCCCTGGGACACAAAAACCCCTCCACCATAATAAGGTAGCAATTTGTGGAGAGGTTTAAAGCATTTAGCAAAAGTATTACATTAGGTGTTTAGGAATTATAATCCTTTTTATATGCAGAGGTTTAAAATAATTTCATAATAATTTGAGAAAAAGTTTTCAGCTTAATGGCACTTCATGTTTTCATGTTCTTTGGTCATATGCTGCAACCATTACTATTAACTACTCATTTTGTGGGGGGTTTTCCATGATGCTTGAGAAAAATATTTCCTGTGCTATGGTTTAGTACAAAGAAACATTACTAAAAAATGTGATTAACTGGCTAAAAAAACAACATGAACAAGACTTCGTCTTAACTTTCAGGTGCATTTGTAGCCAAGATTGCCCGCCCCCAGAAGCGAGCAGGAGCCATACAATTCAGCCACCAGGCAGTGGTGGGCCAACACCTGGGTCAGACGTGCCTCATGCTTCGAGTCACCAATCTGCTGCAGCGGCCTCTGGTGGATGTAAAGGTGAGTGCTGTGCTATACGAGGAGCATGAAGGCCAAGCTCTGCACCAGACTTCATTGGACTTCTATTTGGACCATTTGGGCCAGCAGCCATGCCCCTTCTTCATTTTCCCACTCACCTTTTACCACCCCCTGGACCGTCGGAGCCCCCTCTATCCTGTCCTGTGTGAGGGTTCATCAACCCACTTTGAGTTAGTTGTCTTCCTATCAGCCTTGCAGGAGGGAACTGGCGACACTTGCCAGAAGAGGACCTCTTATCTGCGCCAAGAAATCCAGTTTGACCGCCGCTTTGTCCCTGCTTTGGGTTTGGATGCCTGTGGAAGGTACACAGTGAGCAACCAGCACTTTGATACAGCCCATTCAAAAGAGCCTATGAACAAGGACTGTGTGGTGCAGATCAACGGTGATGGAAATGAGAGGATGGAGTAAGAATGCTGAAGGGAAGATTCTCAAAGAGACCGAGAGAATATGCAAGTGGAGGCAGATATATTTGTTGTCAGGAGGTATTTGATTGAATTTGGTAAATTTGAATTTATGATTCAACATTATAAAAATTCAAATGTATGCCAGATATATATAAGTACTGCTGCAGGCTCCCTCACCTCCTCCCTCAAATCACTTCAAGTCCTCAGTGCTCAAAGCAGGGGAACCAGTAACTACTGGCAGTTGTATTAGTTAAAATGACTGACTAGCAAGGATGGAAGAATGTGCGCGGAGTGGGGTATAGGGAGATGTGTGTGTTTGAACATTTAATACTTAAGGAAAAGTAATTCAAGATGATGAAAATGCAAGGATCATAGAAGAATTTACATGACTGAATAAGAACAGTCTAAACTGTTCTCTTATCACACTTCAAACTTACAAGGTACGATCAAAAAGTTTGGTCACTCAGCTCATGAAAATACACAATTTATATTTAGGCATCACCTTATCGACAGCACTTGAGTGCTACTGCAGTTTCACTGTCATGCTTGCCCCATTACTGTATTTTTAACCACACTAACAGACAGTTGCTACTCACCAACTGCACATCTTGCCAGATTTGGTTAATTCTTTTCTCCAAAATCAAATGAAAATTGCAGAATTGCTGTGTTTAAAGAATGATTGTGAAAAATCCATGGTTAGAAGTACACAGGAGCCAAAATTTAAATCTATTCTAGGTTTTTATTTTTATTTTGGGGAGCCATGGAGCAGTTTGATTGCATTTTGTATCAACTAAATTTTCACGCTTCTCATACAAGGATAAGATATTTATTGAATTCCAAGTAAGCAATTTACTGTGTAGAAATTCAGATGTACCTTGTTCAAATGTAATACCTGCTTTGAGAACTTACTGACTTAAGCTAGCTAAAGGGTAGGTTCCGATAGACTTAACAGGAATAACGTATGAATATTACTTGACTGGGACCAGACATAAACAGTTGCAGGCCAGAATAAACTTACAGTTCCCAGCTACAACAAGCAATACAGTACATGACAACTGAATGATCCAGAACGTGACACAGTGGTGGAGTGGCCAGTAGGAATATTCTGGGTTTGAATCAAGAGTTTGCATGTTGTCATCCTTGCCTGTGAGTGCCCAGTGGCAACACTACATTACCTATTTATAGAGGTTATAGAATTTCTTATTTACCTTTATTATCAAATTAAATAGAATTAGTTTTCTAGCAAAAATACATTTGAGAGCAAAGCTATAAAAGCAGCACTCACAAAATGTACATGTTATTAAAAAGTGAAAAGGTCAGGATAACAATAAGTACAGTGATCTGCATTAACATTTGCAAGCATGCTCACAGTGACAATGACAAATTTAGACTCATCTCTCTTTCTTCCATAGAGTTATCCTGCCAACAGGCTAAGTCTGTGTGATCTTGTAAAGCCGTGGGCTGTGAAACAGGGTAGATGGTGTAACAGTGACTGAAGAAAAATGATGAGAAAAAGAGGGTAATGTTTGACAGCTTTTCCTATCCTTAACCTATGTGAGTATTCAAAGTTCAGATTCAACTTTGGTGACTGTTAACTTTATTTATATATGACAGAAAAAAAATAGCAAAAGGAGCAAAAAAAAAAAAAAAAAAAAAAGGGAGATGACTAGCAATATAAAATTCATAGGTGCAGCAGCAGTACTGGAAGTGCAGACAGTAAAGCAAGGGACAAAATTAAGAAACTCTTCTCTGGCATTCATGTTGTTAATTCTTATGGTCTAGCAACAGAACTGACGGTACTGCAGACTAGCAGCATGAGCTGACAATCACAACATAACATCAGATGGTTGTTATGGTAAGCTGCTATGGATAATCTCTGGAATCCCATTAGAACAAAGACACTCATGATGTAAAGTGAACTGTGTAACATTAGACTTACCTGCTTGGCATATGGCTCAGTAGTAATTGATAGAATGATACTGACTGCTGATTGGTCTATGGATTAAACCTTTTATTTTGAAAGATAATTGTCTCAATCATTATGCAAATACAAAATGAATAATTTTCATTTTTTCCAATATTAAATGTTTTTATATTAAGCAAAGAAAGCTAGTAGGTAGAATAGCAAAATTTTGCATTTAGAATAGTTTTCTCTTTTAAGGCTGTTCATTGAATGAGAATCTATGTGTTATCTATATGGTATATTATAAAAGAAATCATGTAGTGACTTCAGACTAAAGTGAAGAAATGTTCCTTCAAATGTGTATGTGCCTTTGTACAGTGTACATTACAGGAAATAAATATTTTCTAAACAAACTGAAGTTCAGACTTCTTAAATTTAGCTTCTAGATTAACATGCCCATGACAACTGCAGATTGCTTTGGCAATGCTACTCCCTGGAAGATCGTAGTAAGGTCTTTTTGTGACAAAAAACAAAGTGTTGAAGAACCAAACATTGCAACAGAAACCTACATGTTTGTTTGGTGTTATTTCCCTTGTTCAAAGATAAAAAAGAAGACTGTCAAGACATGGTACCAAATTCCTACACTCCCCACAGCACACAGCAGCAAGATGTAAGATGCTGGGACAGCGTACACTGAGCAGCTGGAACACTGTGAATGAACAGGATCATGTGGGACTTTGGGAGTTGTAGCCCATAATGACCTCTTTCATAGTCACACCTGTTTTCTGTTCCTTGTTAACTACAATTTTGTGTAATAGTTAGTCAACAGCTGCTAATCAGTCTGGAACTCAAACTAGAAAAGCAATTTCATTCTGAGACAGAGAGAAATATATGGAGAGAGGGTAGGAACAAGTCCCCAAAGAAAGTAAGCCAATGCTACAAGCAAAATGATTCACAATGTTTACCATTCTATTTATCATTTATTGCAGTTAAGTTTAACATTACCATTCTGACAGAGACAGCAGAAATACAATATCTATACAGTGCTGAAAAATATATTTTGCTGACTTTAATATTTGGCAACTTTTCTAATAAAACAAAAGACAATTTATTCATCAAAAAATACTCTGTCCATTTCTACAACAAATCACTGATAAAGTATGCAATCCATACACTGGTTGGTTATATGTCGACAATAACATGCTACAACTTAGTACATTAATAGAGACTAAATAAAATGATCAGGAACATAAAATGCGCTTTACACTGTTTAGGTTAGAGCCTCTCTGCTTCATTGGGCTTGTGGATCTATTTGATCTTCTAGAATTTCTTTTATTATCTATGTATCAGAAAATAATAATTCTTTTACTGTTTTCTACATCCGTATAGCAACCCAAAATGTACTTCTGCCCTTCAAAGCTGACAAATTAAAGGCAATGACCTCACTCAGAACAGAGCAGGTTCTGCACATATGCAATATTTACTTATTTACTAATTTTTAAAAACTAATTTTTACTAGTGTGATTTCAGTATGTTGCCGGTATGGTGCTAACAGATGACATTACAGTCATTCCACAGGTAGTGACACTGCATATTGTTTAAAAAAGATGAGAGGACTGCATCTTCCACAACAGCCAAACTGCTGCCCATGTGTCAGTGTTTCTGTAAAGGATTTCTTAAATTTTGTTTTAGATATAGATCAACATCATTGGGAAAAAAGTACTTTCTTTCCAAAAGTGAGACTACAAGAGGAAATAGATGCATTAGCACTGTGAAGTATACTGGCTAATACATTTTTCAAAAACACTTTTTAGTTTCAGGTCCTGGAAGATCTGAATCTATTTATCAATCTACGTAACACTTTGGTGCTAACATTTTGGTCATTTCTACTATTTAATGCCATTTCAAAGTAGTATCATTTATGATTTCGTGAGAGGCGGTTTCATAAACTATTAGAATAGTATACTAGTCAAGCTGAAGATATAATGCTTGAACAATTTTGTCCAAATTCTCCATGTGTGACATGCTAAATGCCCCTAAATGTACTTTACAAGGTATTAATAAAGTACCACTGAAAAAAGCCATGATCTGTATCTTTGTTCTGAAACTTCAATTCATGTCTTTTAAATTAAGAATACATTTTAATGAAATTTGGTCCAGTTTTTTTTTAAGTATTCCATTTATTATTTATTTTAAATGTACTCAATTTAACCATAAATATATGCATAACGTTGTTTCATTTTATTTTATTAATTTTGTCCGCAAGGTGACATCACACCAGTGAATACTTGCCTCACCGTTTGCTTAACCAGTGAGAGGACGTGATTTTGTTCATTGAATGAAATGGCCCAATTATTTGTAATTCTTCCTGTTCAATGAAAATTTAATCCTGTAAAGGTTTAAAAGTTTCTAACATCTATCAGATAAAAAAAAAAAAAACCATAGTAATAATCACTAATAACCATTTTGTAAATGAAATGTATAATCCGATAATAACATTAACTTGAAGAAGTTGCATTTTTCAAATTCAACATTTTAAATGCATATTGTTAAAACATTTATAATCATAAATAAAATAAAATCCTGCCAGTGTACTGTGCAATTATTATCACTTAAACACAATTTTTAATATTCTTTGTAGTCTCCTTTTCCATATACAGTCTGACTGCACGACATATTTGGGGTTTAGATACCAAACTATGAAAAAAGAATTAGATAAATTAGGTTAAAAATTACTAAAAACATTGTATAGATTAAACTTTGAATGTCATCCTGTGAATAAATTAAAAACACACAATGATATGCATTTCATGTCAATAACTATTCTGCCTAGTACTATAACAGGAAAGATGTTTTATCCTTAAGTGAGTAACTATTACTCGTGTTTATCAAACCTATGATCAAAATTACAAATAATATCAGTTTATACTGGAAATAATTTTAAAATTTTGAACTCATATTGGTAACTTAACTTAAACAAAGGTGACATGGGGATGCGGCATTTTAGGCTAAGACAAGATTTGGAAAAATAGCTACTGGCCCATTATTATACAAAATACACTTAGTTCTGATATGTGGACTCAAATGGTACCAAATACTAGAAATGACCTGAACCCACATAAAACATAATTGGGAGCCTTAAGGCTATTGCTATATCTATGTTTGGACAGAACTAGGCTAGTTGCTAACCATGCTTCCAGTCTTTACGCTAAGCAAAGTGAAAGTGCAACCCCGAGATTACCGAAGTGAAAATCCTAGTATTTCCCAAAGTATTCAGCTATTTCTTCAAGTATCAGTCTCTTTTCTAGACCAATGCTACCAACATAGCTGCATAGCAAAGCTAATGATAAAGCTAAGACTACATGATGAAGTAACACATACATCTCTTTTCTATGCAGATGTGCTGAATGAAGGAACTGCAGGACTATCCTGTACAGCCTGTCTCTGATCTCAAAGTACTGCCGTGAGACTTTTCCCATTGGACATGTATACAGTGCTGAGAGTCTTGAGCCACCCTCAGGTCTTTATATTTTGGTAGGAAAAAGGTACAGTGATTTACTGAAACACACGCAAACAAACATGGAAATATAGTATATAATACAAAAACATTATAACATCCCTGTCAGTACTGACAGGGACTAGAAAGAAAATTTATAGTTTTCCTATATTGGCTTTTAATTCATTGCCTCCCTGTTAAATCCAGAATTGAATGCAAAATCCTGCTTCTCACATACAAGGTCTTGAATAATCAGGCCCCATCTGATTAAGTACACAGACTGTTGATTAACTTGTGGTTGATGGGTAATTGAGTAGTATGGGAGGCAGAGCTTTCAGCTTTCAGACACCTCTTCTGTGGAACCAGCTCCCAGCTTGGATTCAGGAGGCAAACACACTTTCTACTTTTAAGATTAGGCTTAAAACTTTCCTTTTTGACAAAGCTTATAGTTAGGGATGGATCAGGTAACGTAGCTCTCTTCCACAGCATGTCTTTTGTCCTGTCTCTCTAACTCTAATCAAACTCCATCAATTTGAAAATCGCTCTGTTGGAATTAAATCAGAGTAAATTATGCATTTTTGTGACAGGCCGCTAATAATAAAAATACTGTATCTAAAGGAATAACTTGAATTGGTTCTTAACAAGTAAGTGACAGACATTCAAGTACAGCTTGTGCAAAGTCAAAATGGTTTTTACATGAACCAGTAAAACACCACAGTATGCAAAAACATTAGCTAAGTGCCTGTCTTTAAGCTGTTTTAAAGAATGTCACAGGGTTAAGAGTGTAAAAAGAGAGGATTAAGCTGTTCCAGTATTTTGGAGCAAAGGATTGAAACACCCAATTGTTCTTTGTTTTCAGACTAACACGTGAGATAGCAAGAAAACCCCTACCTGGGCTTAAGAACCCAGCTTGGAGAATCAGGGAATTACTGCAGGTCTTTATTACTATTTTAGGGTTTTTACCTTAAAATATAAAGAAACTGTTGTTTTGATTTGGTGTTACATAAATAAAATGGACATTACAGATGGGGCATACATTTTTAACTAAAATCTGAACCTGACAGGAAGCCAGTGTAAAGATGTTTCGAGAAGATTTAACATCAGTTAAACGCCTTCCAGCAGCATTTTAGATGGACTAGAAGCAATTACTACATGCTTTAGACAAGAAAACAGCGTATTACAATAATTTGAACTAGTACAGATCAAAGCATGGATGAGAATCTCCAGTTCACATTTTGAGACAACAGTCCTGAGGTTACCCCTATTTCTGAAATGGGAAAAACAAGACCAGGTCAGACACCTGATGTGAGCATGAAATGCCACAGAAAATAGGTTGTTTGCCAAGTTTTCTGTTACAGTGCCTCTAAAGGTACTCACTTGTTCCACATTTTGTCAGCTTACATCTTTTTTCCAAAATAGATTCATTTTTCACCTCAAATACTACACATTTTACCTAAGTTTAAAGAAATGAACGATGGCCCAAGACTTAGTCGTACTGAATAGTACTGTAATTCACAGTCACAACATAAAAAACAGCATTTGTCCTATTTGGAAATGAAGCTGAATTTCAGCGGTCTCTGAAGTCAGTTAAAAACCTATAGGTAATGGCTCATTGGCAAAAAAAAAAAACAGTAGTGAGGTTACCAGTGTATATTGACTGAACTCTCCCTAACATTTTGTTTCTTACACCAAAACACCACAGTGCATTTGAAAATAACACATGAAGATTTTACTTTTCTGGAGCTACAAAAAAAAAAAAAAGAACTGAATGTTTTCTATCTTGTTCTGGGTCATCTTTTCGGTGTAATCGGGCACTGAAGTGACAGCTTGTACTTTTTTTGTTATCCCGTAGTCTACAGACACCAGACCTTTCACATCTTAATTTGTGATATGTCACTCTTTTTACAGGAGGGAACCTGTAAAATCAAATTAGATGGGCACATTTCTCCTGGGACCTTGTAACTTGCATGTACTTGAGATGCTGCTCACAAACATACTGTTTGGTCACAGTAAAGGTGCTTGCTACTGCTTTTACACCATATTACTGTGCACAAATCATCACAAAGGAATTATTCAAACAATGGCTCATTGGTCTTTTATACAGATGGTTCCTTACGAAAGAGGATAACTAAAGAGACGCCACTTAGAAAACTGTCTCCTGCCACTATTAGGATTATCATCAGACCTCCACTTGAGAACATCTTTTTTTTTTCCTAGGGTCATTAGAAACGAAGTCTTAGCAAAGGCAAAGTTGAGAAATAGTACTGTAACATGCAAGCATGATTAAATGGAAGCCGTCTTCTGTGTGCTTTTAGCAATACGGCTAAACTTCAGTGTACAGTTGTTGTCCTTAGCCTAGGTCTACAACACATCTTTATTTACTCTGTAGGTAAACAGAAACATATTTATGGTTGTTTAGTTGTGGGATTGCAAACTACTGTTCATCAACAAGGTTATAGCACAAAACTCAAAACAAACAAACAGAAAAAAAACCCCAAAGACGGATTTCAAATGGTCTAGAGGTCGAACATACAATACACAAGGTATCAGTTTTGTGCAAGGCTAACCATATCCTGGACTTCACCCTGTGCCTAGTTATGACATGTTTTTTATTTTAGTCAAGATTTAATTTTAATTTAATTAATCAGTTTTTTATTTAAGTGCCACAATTTGAAACGGGTTTGAGTCTAAGTAAGGAGTGTGTTTCTAAAACTTCAGTAACACTGAACTTTGCAATCTGCATCATCTGCTTTCTGTGGTGGGTTATGAGCAGAAGGTGGACTGCAGCTGCTTGAAGGCAGCATGTCGTTGTTTTTTCTCCTCTTCTTGTCTCTTGCGTTCTTCTTTTTCCTCTCGAATTTCAGCCTCAAACTTGCTACCGGCAGACAGAGCCTGCATCTGGTACAACACAAAAACAAATTTCTTAAACCCAAGTAGCCATGCACAGCTGACTGCAGCTTTTCACAAATTTAAGCTTTGGGTACAGTACTTAATGTACTTGATGTACTTGTTTTTTCACCAGTAGTTACATAGCTGTATCCCCAGTTATCAAACATATACTCGGGCACAGAGATAAGTCATATGCCATTTGACTCATTAACATTCTGTGCAAAAAAAAAGAAAAAGTACACATATTGGGGTATAGTATATTAAAGCCCCCCCCCCCGAACACTGAAACAGGCTTCAGATAGACATTCACAGGTTAGTTCCAGTAAAGTTAATATTTTCATGTTTTTACTCTGAACACAGGTCATGACAGGCATTGAAGGAGCTAAGGACAAAGTCAAAATCTAGGCGTACGGCTAAAGTACACGGTGTAATGTTATTACATACCTTGGCTTCAAAAAAGTCTTTGGCCCCCATAACACCCTGAGTGGAGACATCGATCTCAGAAAGTCTTGCTAATGCCATTAGACCACTTTCTTCTTGCAGTTCTCCAGCTGCTGCTCTCCGGAAAATCAACAGGAACTGCAGAGAGGTAGACAGTTTAAAGTACACACACACACACACACACACACACACACACACACACACACACACACACTTTTTTTTTTAATTATTTGTTTATTTTTTACCCACCACCTGCCTCTCACCAAGCAGGATCTCGGGAGCACGTGAGTTGTTGCCAGAAGAATTCTTGATACAATGTTTCTTCACCAAAACTTTTATCTTACACTGAAGTCAGGTTTTCAACCTTCACCTGAAGACTTCCCAGAAAAGGAGTTTCACAAAAAAACCCAGTGTGTTCAGGCTCTTACAAATCTGTTCTGGTCCCACTGGAACCAGGAATTCCTCCCTTTCCTAAAACAGAGGCAACAATGGGCAGTGACTCACAGGAATTTTCAGGCTGAGTTTAGTTCTGAGATTTGTTTGGTCATTTGAGAATTTTTTTCTTTGTATGAAGAACTTGATCATTATGAAATGGATAAACATGGAATGTTTATTTTTGTTTTAGTTAAAAGTAACTTTATTTGTCTTAGTATCATGTGATGGCATTGCTTCCTGCTCAAAGGTCCTCTTTTGAGAAAAGCATTACAGCCATGTTGGCCATGTGCTGAAGTCTCTTTTCATCTGTGTCAAAGCATCATGGAATCAATGCTGTAAGTTAATTCACTTCACAATGGATATGTTAGGTTAATTCATGAGAGAGAGTTAAGAGTGCAGATGCTGATTGCTTTTGTATTCAGCTTAGTATCCAAGTTTAGCCTAATTTTGTATACATTTTTTTCTTTTTTTTTTACAGTTTTCACCAGGATGTCCATTGAGATTTACAGCAACACTACAAAAAGTATGTCTTAAAGACAAAATACTGGATGACCTCCAATTTAAATTAATTGTTATGGTACTTTGCCCTAAAAATTTTATAACACATGTTATAAAACATCATATTCTTGCTCTGGATGGCATTACCTTGAGTAATACTGTAAGAAATCTTGGAGTCGTATTTGACCAGGATGTGTTTTACAATGTGCATATTAAACAAATACGTGTGACTGCTTTGGGCAGCATCTCTTAAATTAGAAACATCCTATTCTCAGATGTTGAAAGCGTTCATGCATTTATTACTTTTAGGCTAGACTTTTGTAATTATTACAGCTATTCTAAAAGCTCCCTGAAAAGCCAGTTTATCCAAAGCAGTGTGAGTACTGACAGGAGCTAGAAAGGGAAACAACCATATTTGTCTCACCAGAATTGAATTTAAAATCCTTCTACTCTAATACAAAGTATTTTAAGCTTAAAACTTGACTTTTTCTTTTCTACTTTTTTCACCACATTGGTTGCGCTTAACTTGCTACTGGTAATATGATCACACTACTTCTATTTACACTCGTATTTAAGGCACAGATGGTCAATGCAGTATTCCCCCAAACAATAAGTAGAGCCATTCAAACAACACCGCCACATTAGCGATAATATACAGTGGGGCAAAAAAGTATTTAGTCAGCCACCGATTGTGCAAGTTCCCCCACTTAAAATGATGACAGAGGTCAGTAATTTGCACCAGAGGTACACTTCAACTGTGAGAGACAGAATGTGAAAAAAAAATCCATGAATTCACATGGTAGGATTTGTAAAGGATTTATTCGTAAATTAGGGTGGAAAATAAGTATTTGGTCACCTCAAACAAGGAAAATCTCTGGCTCTCACAGACCTGTAACGTCTTCTGTAAGAAGCTTTTCTGTCCCCCACTCGTTACCTGTATGAATGGCACCTGTTTGAACTCATCATCTGTATAAAAGACACCTGTCCACAGCCTCAAACAGTCAGACTCCAAACTCCGCCATGGCCAAGACCAAAGAGCTTTCGAAGGACACCAGGAAAAGTATTGTAGACCTGCACCAGACTGGGAAGAGTGAATCTACAATAGGCAAGCAGCTTGGTGTGAAAAAATCAACTGTGGGAGCAATCATCAGAAAATGGAAGACATACAAGACCACTGATAATCTCCCTCGATCTGGGGCTCCATGCAAGATCTCATCCCGTGGGGTCAAAATGATCATGAGAACGGTGAGCAAAGATCCCAGAACCACACGGGGGGACCTGGTGAATGACCTGCAGAGAGCTGGGACCAAAGTAACAAAGGTCACCATCAGTAACACACTACAACGGCAGGGAATCAAATCCCGCAGTGCCAGACGTGTTCCGCTGCTGAAGCCAGTGCATGTCCAGGCCCGTCTGAAGTTTGCCAGAGAGCACATGGATGATACAGCAGAGGATTGGGAGAATGTCATGTGGTCAGATGAAACCAAAGTAGAACTTTTTGGTATAAACTCAACTCGTCGTGTTTGGAGGAAGAAGAATACTGAGTTGCATCCTAAGAACACCATACCTACTGTGAAGCATGGGGGTGGAAACATCATGCTATGGGGCTGTTTTTCTGCCAAGGGGACAGGACGACTGATCCGTGTTAAGGACAGAATGAATGGGGCCATGTATCGTGAGATTTTGAGCCAAAACCTCCTTCCATCAGTGAGAACTTTGAAGATGAGACGAGGCTGGGTCTTCCAACATGACAATGATCCAAAACACACCGCCCGGGCAACAAAGGAGTGGCTCCGTAAGAAGCATTTGAAAGTCCTGGAGTGGCCTAGCCAGTCTCCAGACCTCAACCCCATAGAAAATCTGTGGCGGGAGTTGAAAGTCCGTGTTGCTCGGCGACAGCCCCAAAACATCACTGCTCTCGAGAAGATCTGCATGGAGGAATGGGCCAAAATACCAGCTACTGTGTGTGCAAACCTGGTAAAGACCTATAGTAAACGTTTGACCTCTGTTATTGCCAACAAAGGTTATGTTACAAAGTATTGAGTTGTATTTTTGTTATTGACCAAATACTTATTTTCCACCCTGATTTACGAATAAATCCTTTACAAATCCTACCATGTGGATTCATGGATATTTTTTTTCACATTCTGTCTCTCACAGTTGAAGTGTACCTCTGGTGCAAATTACTGACCTCTGTCATCATTTTAGGTGGGGGAACTTGCACAATCGGTGGCTGACTAAATACTTTTTTGCCCCACTGTAGCAGTAGTCAAAACTAGAAGCCTAAGTGTTTTTCCACCAAGTGTCGCCTTTTCAAATTGCTGCAACTGCATCTCCCTCTGAATAATCTATGAATCTCTGAGCCTTTCTATTGATATTTGTAATATTGATATTACAAAAATCGAGGTGTAAACTGCAACTAACAACAGTGGGCATGACAGCAATTTGATGTCAATGTAAAATCAACTTTGTCATCCAGTGTCATTCACAAGGCACCTGGCAGATATAAAACTCACCCTTACCCCTGATTCTCCTACCCCTCGACCAGCTGTAACAGCTGGATGCTGCTGCCTTAGCCTGGTTCTAACAGACGTATCCCCTTGTTGACATGGGGGGGGGGTCTTGACCTTATAATGTAAAGTTCCTTTAGGCGACTGTTGTTGTTGTGCTGTGGTGCTGTGTAAATAGAATGTCACATGGATTCTTATATTTAAGAATATTTTTTTTTCCTCGCCTAATTTATTTTGGGATTTTATTGCCTATAACCACTTATATGCTTCATTAGACATTGAACTCCACAACACCAGTAATCAACATTATCTGTGCAAAGACTGGTGCTTCTAAAGTGAAACACAGAAATGTTACAGTGGGTTTAATAAACTCATAATCAGGTGTTTTGCCATTTGGCATATTTTGGCGCATTTTGGCACCATCTGTAAATGTAAATGGTAAATGGCCTGTGTTTGTATAGCGCTTTACTTAGTCCCTATGGACCTCAAAGCGCTTCACACTACATTCAGTCATCCACCCATTCACAAACAAACAGAGGTGAGGCTGCCGGACACTGGCGCCACCGGGCCCTCTGACCACCACCAGTAGGCAACGGGTGAAGTGTCTTGCCCAAGGACACAACAACCAAGACTGTCGGAGCCGGGGCTCGAACAGGCAACCTTCCGATTACAAGACGAACTGCCAACTCGTGAGCCACGATCGTAAGTTGAACTTTATTTTTTTTATTTTTTTTAACACTTTCTCTTTATTGATTTTCATCTTATTTTACATACAGAACTAAAGAGGGCAAGGGAAACCAACACATTCACATATGTTCACATATTCCAAAATACACAACGCCTTGTTTTACTTACACATATTACATATTACACAGGTGCATGTTTCATTCAAACAAATTTGCAGCTGTCCCTCTGCATCACAGAGGTATCAGTTTCTAGTCTCTTGACGTATAACGATCCCATCTTTCCCAAAGTCTCTCTCCTTTCTCCTTCTGTAGCCGTAGTGAGAGGGTAATCAGTTCCATATGATGAATTGTGTTAATAATGTCTATGACCAGCTTCCGTGTGGGGGGGCTTGTCTGTAACCAACACTTAGTAATTGCCTTTTTGCATGCAACCATAATTATTTTCAGTAAGTATGAGTCTCTGTTATTTATATCCTCAGGGATATTCCCAAGGTACATGGTACTAAAGGAGAAGTCCAGTGGTACTTCCAGCACATCCATCACCATTTGTTTAATCTCCTCACAAAAGGTCTTCAGTTTAGGACATGACCAGAAGACATGGAAGCAACCTGCAGCGACCTCCCCGCACTCCCTCCAGCATGAATCTAATTAAATTCTTCCATCCAAAAATCTCGTCATGTTAAAGAATTTGTGGTAGATAACACATTCTTCCACATCCGCAACCAACCTTCCTCTGAGATAGTTATACCTGCTTCTTTTTCCCATCGATGACTGACATATCTTGTTGAGGTCTTTTTCATAGCAGTAAAACTTCTGTACATTTTGCCTATAGTACCCCTTATAATGTTCTCACCATAAGCATCCATAAATATTTGGATCACCCCACTAGCATCTGCGTCAAGCATTCTAATTTCCTTCTGGAAGAAGCTCTGAACCTGTAGGTAACGATAAAAATCTTCCCTGCCGATCTCGTAAATCTGACACGTCCTCAAAATTGATCAGCTCCCCA